CCTTTTCTAAAGGTATTAATCCCATTCATCATCTTCCGAAGACCCCCATCTCCTAATAGCATCTCTCTGGGAATTAAAATTTCAGAATTTGAATTTGAGGATGGGGTAGACATATTCAGAGTATAGCAATTCTGAAGATCATTTAGAGAAAACTAAACACTATTTGTGGAAGAGAAAGGCCAAATCAGACAGTCAAATGGACTGAGGATATGCCTAAAATTTGGGGTAAATATATGGGAGTTTAACTTCTATTTATGGTGAGTCATGGTGTGGTATAAAAGGCACTCTGGATTACCTGTGCCTGACTCTGAAACATCCATTGCATACAAATGGCAGCCTGCCAATGGCCTGGGCTTCCTCTTCCCTTGGGCACAGGCACAGGGAGCTGTTGGCATGAGCTGTGAGGCATTCCCTTCGATGTGGGAGATCTCACACATGCATTGCAGTTCTAGTCCTGGTCTGTCTGTTCTGTCATTCTGCAGTTTCTTACTCCTCCATGCTGACATCTTTGCTACACGTTGGCATTTCAGTAAAGTCTTGTCCACTTGTCTTCTCTGTATTTCCCTTCTCCACATCCCTCTTTTTTTTTCCTTGGTCTTTCTCTTTATCCTTGCTCTCTGCTTTCTCCATGTGACTTGAATCTGGCTCCAACTGTGCCGGGAAAGCAGTTGGACGTTCCTCTCTCTGTGCAACCACAGCACACCCCTCACAGCCCGAGATCACGATGTGGGAATTATTTGATCACACACCTTCCTCTGCCTTGAAGGGACTTCCATTTTTAGCAACTTACCTGGCCTCTAATGGGAACTTCACAAATGCTCCTGTTTTTAACTTTCATAATTTCAGCAAAAGAGTTTATTCTGCTTTCCGGATAGTCGATTTACAAACAGACTTTTGTAAACCAGCTCCTGTGTAGGTTGAGGACTTCCCTGCAATGCAGTCAGACTACAGCAAAAGGCTTTTTGTTACAGAACTGTAATCTTGATGTAAGTTGGCCCCACCTGAATTCCACTGTAATTGCCTTTCCAACATATGTCTTGCCATCATCTTAAAAAGGTTTCGTTCCGAACACATCCGCTGGCAGAAGATTTGTTTTGCTTTCTTTTCTAGGAAAGTGTAGCTTAGCAAACTATTAGACTGTCTGACTTCTTAACTGTTGGTTAATTAAAAAAAAAAGTGAATAGATTAGCTCTATATATTACACTCAATGATTATGTGTTAGCAATTTAATAATATTAATAGGAGGAAGTACATCTAAATCTTCTCCTGTTTGTCTGCATGTAAACCCTGTACCCAGGAGCCACACTACTTTCAAAAGAGCACATCAAAGTAATTGTTTTGCCTGGCGCCAGAACAAATTTCTGCTGGGACCTGTCCCATTTAATATAAATTATATTACCTGTGGAATTTAAGAGGATGTAAGGTGTAGCATGTCCTGCAGGCAGGAAATTTAAACTATGGATTGATTTTTTTTTTGACTCTGGTTTGTTCCTGTAATATGGAGTACTTAGTAACCCTAATTTCTGTTTAATCTTTTCACAGGCATATTTTGAATTTTGCATTCATATGCAAGACATGTTTAAAAACCCTGTTATTCTCTTAGTCTAACTTGACAATGAAAAAATATCTAAAGCTAGTGGTATGAATGCTGTACCTAACTATGATAAGGTGGGAAAGAGATGCTGTTACCTGACTACGTCTATTTAGAAACAGACCAAAAAACAAACAGACAAAAAGAATGATGAAGAAAATAAGGGCCTTTGACCTTATTTAACCAAATCATTGTGCTTCAAGCCTGATGGGCCTCTGTTTTGCCTATATGTGCACATGAAAGTAGGAGTAGAACATCCATGGGCAAGAATAGGGAGACATAAACCTCAAGATCATGAATCCACTGGACACAGTTGTATACCCTGTTTGTAGAACCAGAATATTAGATTTTCTACATGTGGCATCATGTGCCAGCCCAGCTATTCAGAGGGAGAGCTCCAGCCCTCCACATGTACCCTCCACCCTCAGTGACTCAGTTCCCCCAGCTGACGTCCCTGATGCCCTGTGGCCAGCCCCTTTGGCCCATGTGGTCCTCAGATAGGAGACTGCTGCCTGCATATTATCTTGGGTGTTGAATGTGTCAGGGCTTTCACTAGGACAATAAAAGAGGTGGATAACAGTCAGTAACACAAAAGGGAATACATTGGAAGGAGGTAGGGAGGAAGGAAGGGGACAGAGACAGAGAGAGGGAGGGAAGGAGGGAGGGAAGGAGACTGGAGGAGCTAATACCAAAGCAATGATAGAAGCTCGTGTCCACCTCCCTTCTTTGTGCTCTTAACTTATGGTCATGCTCAGGCCACAGCCTGGCTTTCAGCACTTGTCCATGGGACACCACAGCTGCAAACAGCTCCTTTCCCTTCTCCCGGTGGGAAAAAGGAGCCTCTCCTCAATCTTCTAATTTAGTCATTGTTTTATTCTCATGAGAGAGGCCCTCATCACCAGGAACGGATGCTTTCTCCAAGTCTTTTTATTTTTCACCCAATAATCCAAATAGTCTCTGAAAGACAAACTAGCCATCATGAACAATAGTTAGCACCTGCTGAAGCACTGTGTTAAATTTTTTATCTCCTACTTAAAAGTCTTGACCTTTTACTTAATCCTCACTCTTGTTAGTTGATACTATTGTCCCAATTTTAGATTAAGTGTGATGTTATATAGTGTTAGCCATGGACACATGGTTGATGAGTTCATGTGAGACTTGCTGCCTTTCCTTTGCTCCTACATGCATTTGTGCCTGTCCCCCTTCTGTGGCCTCTGACTTTCAATGGATATCCTCAGATAGGAACTTTGGGTACTGGATTCTGAGCCACTTTTTACAGATTCCTCCTTTTTTCCTTTTTAAAATAGGTCCTTAGTCTTGGAGTGCTGTCTAACTTACACTGAAAGGCACACCTCCATGGTTTTCATTTGTTTTCTTACATGCTTTCCTTGTTCTTAAAATTAAGGCAAGGAACCCTTTGTTCCACTGGTTGGCTAAATTCAAAGACCCAAATTGAACTCAAGTTTTTGAACTGTATAGATTAAGAAGTAGTACTTAGTAGTCCCTTAATGTCAGTAGTTAAGAGACCTGATTTTTAACCCTCCCTTGGCCGTGTTCCCCACTTAAGTTTATTCCTTTCAACATTGGAGCCCCACAGACTCTATCAATGATCAGTCAAGATCCTCATGAGTAATTGCACTAAGAAAGATGGTTTCAGAAGTATAAGGGACATCTTCTAATCCTAAAAATGATGTATACCTATTAAAAATTCAACTCTTTATTTCAAAATAAGACTCTATATTCAAATGCCTTGGAATGTTTTGATGACTTAGCAAGGTGAAGGCACAAGCAAGTCCAGAAGATGTCATTGTGCTCAAGTGTCGTATTTGGGAAACAGCTGGATTTTGTAGTTAGAAAAACATATTTAAAGGCTGGGATAGCAGACATGCTATCTCTATCACTTGACTTTAAAGTTAGTTTTAGATAAAAGGGTAGCTTAATAATGGGGCTGGTTGTTGAGAGGATCCAACTTCTAAAAACTTTAATATACTTTCAGCCTTCCCTGGAGGCAGATGATGGGGTTGTTAGTCTACATCCTCTGCTCAACGGAGCAGCTTCTCTGCTGGCACATTGTTTGGCAGAGCTCCAAGGAGAGCTGTGTGATGACAGCAAGATTAGGATGCAGGAAGTGGAGCTGCTCTAAGCTGTCTGTTTCTCCTGTTCACTTGGTCAATTCCACTAACTTGGCCAACCCCTAAAGCCACGCTTCCAAATGAGCACTTGGTCATTTGAATTCCCATCAGATTAAACATTTTCATTTGAGACCCCTCTCCATCCTCCTCGCCATACCTGTGATGATGGGACCCTTTACACAGCAGCCCCTCCCTGTCCCTTAAAGACCGGGGCTTCTGTGTAGAAGCAGCGAAGGATCAGTGTCATTGCATATCCTGGATTCGGGATTCATCACATTGAGCTACATGCTTACCAACAATGTTGTGCTTGAAATTATTTTACAAAGCCTGGCCCAGAGGGCACGAGGCTTTTATGGTAGCATCTTTACACCAAATTCTGCTGTCTATGAATCTGGGCATATCCGATAGATCACACATTATGTGGAGTCTCTAGTGTCTAAATCAGGACCTCAGATTGGTGCTCCTTGACTTAGACACTGTAGCTTCCTTAAAATTTATTATTTATAACCATACTTTCTTCCCATTCATTTTTCTGTTTATGTTCTGTTTACAATGCCTAAATGCCCAATAGTTGTGATCCTTACCACATTTCCCAGAATGACTCTTATTTTTAAAGTTTCTTAAAATTTCTACATATTACTTTGGCAAGCTAAACAACTAGACTTCTTTAAATGTTAAAGTGAGCTTAATTTTTAAAAATATTTTGTCATTTATTTCTCCAGAGGATGCACTCCTTTAAAAATCTTTGGTGCTGCAAAAATAAGCAAAAGATGGTGACCTCATCTGTTTCAAATCTGAATAAATGAATGGCTAAATAAATGAAGGAAAAATTTTTCTCTGGGCATGGTCTTCATAGAGGGCTTCAGCAACATAGAGAACAAAAGTGCTTTTTTTTTTTTTTTTTTTTTTGCTTTAGGTATGGTCTTTATTCACTTGGACACTGTACAAATATTACAATTTCCTTTTGCTTCAAAAAATATAAAAATAATCTTTATATAGGAATCCATTCGTCACTGCAAATCTCTAAATCTCTGCAAATGGCTCTAAATGAAGGTAAATGAATAAATGGGTTGGGGGTGGGGGCTATGGGGCAGCAGGAGGTTGGGCCAATCGGCAGACTCACCCACCCAGATTCCTAACTAGAGACCTCTGTTTCTACCTGTTGGCAGCCCCTCACAACTTACAGGTCCTGAGGGCTAAGGGCCCAGCAGAAGGGAGGGCCACACAAGAGGTCCAGGAGGAGCCGTTAGGGTTGGGGGTGGGGGGGAAGAAGTGAAGGAGGCTGAGGGGGGGATGCGGCAAGTGTCCTGCTGTACCCCAGGCTTCCCTCTGGGGTGGGGTGGGAGTGCAAGCAGGAACAGGGCAGTGGGGCTGGACAAGCTGCCCTATTGGGGTTATGGCAGGTCCTCAGTTCTGTGCCCCTGGGTGGCAGCTGAGCCTGGGCTCTGGGAGGGCATGAGGTGAGAGAAGGCCCCAGAAAAGGATAGGCAAACACTGGCTCCACAGTGTAGGAGGCTGATCCCGTCCCTTGCTCTGCTAGCACGGCACAGGTGCCAGTGCAGGAGTGGGAGGTGTGGCTAGAACTGTGCGGTGAGGGAAGCTGGGGAAGCCAGGGATCTGTGACTCTCAAGCTGTGTAGGGGTGGGGTGAGGTCCCCAGGCAGCCCCCAGGTCAGACAGTCTGTGTCCCAGCTACACAGGGCATGTTCCTGTCAGTCAGAGGTTGAGAACGGGCACATCAAAGAGGTCACAGACACCTTCACTCTCGTCCAGGTTGTAGATGTAATCATGGTCTCCAGGGGGCAGAGGAAGGCGGAGAAGGGGGGCAAACACTTCTGAGGACATCAGCTCTTCCAGCAGCTCCGAACTCATGCACCCTCGTGTGGGATCAAAAATTTCTGACAGCTCTTTGGGGAGTTCCAAAACACCTGTGGGGGCCTCCTTGATGGGCTCAAAGGAGGTAGAAGGATTGTTGGGCCCAGATGAACGGCTGCTGTCCAGCAGGGCAGAGGTCAGCAGTGGCCGTGTGTCCAGCACTGTGACCTCAGCTGCTGGAGCTGTCACCACCTGGGCTTCAGTACTGCTGGAGACAGGAGCAGGGGTGGTCACCTGTGGACTGCTGGGGCGAGAGGCACCCTGGGGCTGGGCCAGGGCAGGCTTGGGCAGAGGTGGAGCGGTAGAGACAGCAGAGGGGCTCTGGAGCAGATCCTCAGGTGGCGGCACTGGCACTGCTACAGGTGGTGAGCTCCATGCCTCCTTGTTCACCAGCAGTACCTCGATGGGGCCACTCACACTCTTCAGGTGAATCTGGTACTTCTTCTGACCATCGAGGCCCTCTGGGATGGGCACCTCCAGGCTGGTGCCTGATGGGGCCCGGATGGCCAGGAGGGTGTCTCCGGCAAAATGTTGCCTCTCACTGTCTAGAACTGATATGAAATAGTCTCATCAGTGTGTCTGTAGAGGGACATGGGGATCCTAGATAAGTTGACCTTTTTTACAGTTCTGTTGCTCTGAATTTGCAGTTATCATTAGCAATTCTTCTGCCACCCTTGAAAACAATCTCTAGAGTTCACAACTGATTCACCTGAAGTGGTGTATAGTTGACAGTTAGCCAATCCTCAGACTATGTTTGAAAATGCCGATTAGGGTTCTGGAAAGAATCCTGGACTTGGGATCCATTCAAGGATCTAATGTCAAGTCTTAACTTTGTCAGTTATTCACTAGATAAGCCCCTTAGCTGCCTTGGACCTTGGTTTTCATGATTCTAAAATGTAAATTGACATAGGATGATATACCTAATATAGAGAGGAATATGAGAATTAAATAGGGTGGTATTTTCAAAAATGATATGACTATGAAATCTACATAAATATAAAGTTTAAAGAAAAAGAAAGTTGCTTTGAGACTACAGAAGCCCCTAAAGTGATCATATAGCATTTAGGTACTCCTGCTGTGAGACAAGACCACACTTAAATTCTTCCATTCAGATCAAAATCTATATTGCTTGAAAATACCTTCAGAAAAGGAAATGCATAGGACTTGGCTCCAAAAAGATAGTTACACTAGACATCATTAAAACAAAAGTGTTTTTGGTATTGATAATCATGATTCTCATTTCCCACCTACTTCCCTAGCTAGCATTTCTTCTGTTCCTCCATCCTTCTGCCATTTGGAGCTGTTTGGTAGCACAGACTTTGGTGTTTGTGTTTGGTAGCAAAAACTGCCTTTCTGGGGGCAGTTTTCCTTTTCTTCCTTCCCTCTAGTGAAATCCTTCTGTGATTTCTTCCATTTTATGTAAACTCAGCTCCCCTTTTGGTCTCCTCATCGGGGTCCATTGCCTTGACCCCCTTTTTGTCTCCTCGTTGGGGTCCCTGCACAGGAACATGACTGCTGTGCTCTGTGGCCACTGACTCCCCTTCATGCAACCCTTCTGGTAAGGAAGCTTTTCTTTACATTGCAGTTGAAGTCCGTTTCCTATTCTTATTTCTTCAAAACAGCTGGTTACCATCCTTTAGTTTCCCCCTTCTTAGACATTACTTCAAAAACATTATATCACTTTTCAGTCTTTTTTTTGTCAAGCATGAGTTATAGACCTTCCTTTAACTTTTTCTCAGCAGGCATACCGTTCAGCCTTTTAATAAGCAGCATGGAGTAATTGAAAGAATATGGGCTTTGTAGTTAGACCTGGGTTTGAATCTAGGCCATGTAACTCATTAGCTATTTGGCCCCTAACTTCCTTGAACTGCAGTTTCCTCATCTGTCAGGTGGGATTAATGGGACAAGGTCCTTATCTGAACTGATGATGCACGTGATGTTCCTGGTGTATAATCCATGTGCTGATCCGTGTGAGTTCCCTTCCCTCTCTCTCTTCTTGCGACTTTCCTCTGCACATCAGGTCACTGTTTCCTACCAGTATTGGAGTCTAGAATTGAGCACAGTGTTAAGAATTTGAAATAATTCTGCTTACCCAACCCCCAAACATGTTTTTTTTCCCCACCGTTATACCATTTCACCATGCGATCTCTTCTGAAGGATTCATGCCGTTTCTGCATACCTTCTGATGTTACTTCCACAGGGACGAGCTACTTCCAAGAACCAGCTCTGAGAAGGGAACACCGGGAGGAAAAAATATCAGAGGGAGTCACTTGTAAACTGTCATTAGAGGACTCCTGGATAGCTCTGTGGCCTCTTGATTTTCACCTTGGGAATTCCCTACATTACCTTTATGTGGCTTATCTGTGGCTCTCTCCAATATAGGGTCATGTCTGGTGTCCTTCAGATCATTTAAAAACACTGAGTTACTCATTCCTAGGTTTCCATTGGTTCTAGTTTACTCTTTACATGCACCTTTGAATACCTGCCTTGACATACATTTTGGTGGAATTGCTCTTGGTATTCAAGCTTTGGACAATTTGAGATTAAGCCAAATAGATTTTCCTGAAAATATCAGCATTCTAGTAACAGATTGGCAAAATCTGTATAGTTAATTCATTTCAGTGTTGTTTCCCCTCTTCTCTACTTTTCCTCCGAAGATGACTTTGAATGAGCATCTAGATGACCTAAACTGAGCCAACGGGACAGAAGGGGAGAGGGGCTGCCAAGAGACTTAGATAATCCCCACACTGATGACTTTTACAGGAAGTGAGAGGTCTGCCTTTCTAAGCAGAGTACGTACGTTGCTCTCTTCCTTAACAGGAAAGAAGATCCTCTTGTTCTAAGCTCACAGCTTTGGACAAATCCCACATAGAAAAATTAAGGGGTGCAGCAAACAGTTAAATATTCCAAAGCTTGGCCAAGTCACTTCTGGTGATTGGTGAAGTTATTAAGTCTCAGCCAGCTTGTTCTCATGGCCAGTAACTGAGTTATTCTTAAATGCATCTCAAGGGGGTAGAAGAATACTTCATTGCCAAAAAAATGTGTAAAAGGGGATTAAAAATTAAGAAATGAGAAACTTCAAGATAAACCAGAAGCAAAAATTTCTGACAGCCATGATGTACTAGCCTGCAGATAAGTCTTGCAATGAATATGCTTGGAATGCCCTTACTACATTCGCCTTATCTCCATTTTTCTTCATCTATTTCTAATGTGCCTTTTAGGCCAGTGCCTCCCTGGGAACATGACAATAAAACAGCTATTGAGTTAAGTAAATAGAAAAACCTAATAAATATTCATATAACTCCAGCTTGAAGCATTTCTTTTATGCTCTATAAATCAACAGAAAACACATGACAGCAGAACCCTTCCTGATGTGTTTTTGGATGTGCAAGACACTGCCAAGAAAGGTGTCTTGTTTATTACTTCTTAGAGTGTATTCATATGTACACACACACACACACACACTTATATGTTTTGTTTTTACTTTGAGATAGTTAATATCTGGAATAGTTCTTTGGCTGGGGAAATGGTGAAAGGTTGGGTGTGAGGAAATAATACAGGAAAAGAGTAAGACTTAGTCAAAGACTGGAGGGGATGTGGTGTAGAGCGAAGGAGAGAAGCAGTGAGAAGAGGAGGCTGCTGGGACGTGGATCTGGGACTGTGAGAGCACCCGTGCTTCTGCTGCTTTGTGGGGGTTAGCCAGCAGAGGCGGCTTCCTGGGGAGAGATAATAAAATCTGGTTTTGTCATGTTTGTTTTAGGTGGCAGTGAAATGCCTAGTCTGTATATTTTGTAGACATTGAGAAATATGGGACTAAAGAGGGGGTGAAAGGTCAGGGCTAGAGATAGGGAGCTGGGGTCTGAACGAGTGTAGATGCTCATTGAATCCACTGGGCCACCAAGGGGGCACGTAGGCAAAGAAAGGAGAGCATGGGGCCCCAGTCTGCATCCAGGAGGCATGAACTGGTAAAGCGCCAAGGGAGTGGGGAGGAGTCGGAAAAGAAAGCAGATGGAAATATTTAAGGCGTGTGGGAACCTAAGTCCCATGCCACTGAGGCATGTCCTGATGACACTGGAAGCCCCGTCACTGAGCAGGAGGCACCTTAGATCCCTAGGACCGGAAGCCACCAAACTCAGTGATGAACCCCAGTGTTTGATGGCTCTCATAAAAGGGACAAATGAGCTAGGACTGCAGAGAGAGATGCAAAACCTGGGGGCAGAACCTGAGTCTGATCATCTTGCTCTCTCCCTGTTGTCTAAGCGAGGTGGTTTGTAAGATAGCATTTGTTTAGTGAATGAATGAGTGAGGGAATGATTCAGCCAGATAAGCAGATACCGGTCATGGTGGGCTTTTTCCGTAGGTGAGAGGATAAGAGCGTTGTGCTGAACAGTGCCTGTAAATGTCACCTCAGGCCTACATGCAAGACAAGCAGATGGGAGAAAAGGACTTGAGAAAAGAAAGGAGAAAACACAGATGAGAGGAGAGGAGCAGATCAAAGTAGGGGTTCCTGGGTGTGAAGTCAGAGGGGTAAACTACCTCAGTGTATGGGCTTGGCCTTTAATTTGTTTGTATTGATAGCTGTTTTTCAAACATTCATTTTGTCTCTCTGATGGGCCTTGAAGCTTCTTAGCAAAGACAGGAACTACTTTTGTGTATCTCTTTGGTACCTAATACAGTTCTACGAGTGTTTACACTTACTGACAGAATGAGAGAAAGTAAGGCAAGTTTTCAGGAATTTCTGAAAGTATGCAATTATCCAGAAATTTAGTCAGGGAAAACACGCAGTTTCAATATATCAAACTAAAACATCCCTTCTCTGCTCAAAGGAGTCTTTTTAACTTGGATTTTCTAAATAATTTACTCAAACCCCTGCCTCTAATAGAGTGTCTAGATTCATTGATCATGCAGTATTCTCCAGAGCCAGCTATACAAACATCCTTCCTAATCTTAGCAAATTGAAGAAACGGGCCTAGAAGATTTGCAATGTGCTTCTCTCTCTTCCCTCACTCCATTTTTATAAGATTACCTCTAAGTACTTGCAGATGAATTAAACGCGGTGCTGTTGTGGAGGGAAATCAGATGTCCATTTAAGTTTGTAATATAAAGACTTATAAAGAAAAGTCAGGCTGGTTTAGTAAGGTGGAATGTACATGTAGGAAACATAAGCAAGTCTGGTGAGAAAATTTGGTGGAGGCAGTTAATTAATTTTAAACTGGGAAAGGCCTCAACAGTTAGTCTGCAAGATCTCCTTTAAAGAATCCCAGACACCTGGAAAACGTCAACTTTTTCATTTTCAGCCAATGGTATGTGGTAATGATCTGAATAAGAAAAATGGCTTTGAAAGCATCAAAAATGCAATTTTCATCTTTGTGTAATTAAAAAATATCAGAACACATTTTTCTCAATCATTTAAGAAAAGAAATTAAATTAACCTTTTGGTGAAAATCAAGATAAAAGTATTGACAATTATCAGGAGGCTAGAGACTCTGAAAATAGTCAAGTGAATGACATCTGTATGTACCTATAGCATCCTACCTTAAGGGCAATGCTCTTATAAAGGCAATGAAGAGACCATTAAAAAGGCAGCAATGTTATTTATTTTATTAAATATAAAAGGGTTGTTTGCATCCATTTCCGGGTGGTAATTCTTATTTTTAGGTTAGGAGTGTGTCAGTGATACCTTAGGGCAGGAGGTACCAGTGGGTTGACTGGAACTTTCCAAGAGCCTCTAGGTGTAAAGAACATGTTTCTGTAGGACGGACGGAGTACTGATCTGGCAAATCTCTCAGCAGGATGAAAAAGAAAAGGGAGGTCTAGAGTATCTTGTTTCAGCTGGTAGAACTTTCTCACAGAAAATGTAAGAGTATCAGATAAGAGCGTTTATCAGATCACACAGATATTACAGCCACACCTCTTTGGGAACATTATGCAACACAGACTTGCTAAATCCCAAAATGGTCTAGACTGGCTCCCTGAGAAGAACAAGTCAGTCTTCATTATTCACCCTGATACATATATTAGGCATTTTCATGTGTCTGTTAAATGATGCATAAGACAGTTTCACTAATGAAAGTTCATTGGTATCCCATGAGCTCCTGGATCAAAAGAAAGCTAAAGTGAATAAGGCTAGATAGCTAATGAAAAGACGCTAGTGGTCTGCAGCTCTGGGAGGAAGCATGTTCCCAGCCAGGGGCGAATCCCCTTTGAATACCATGAAACCACAATAAGTCAAGGGGAAAGGACAGGTTGGGAGAAAAGCTTTTATTTCTTACTGCAGTAGCTGGAGTTCACTAGCCAGGCGTGGCTCCATCCATCTCCCCTGGCCCAGCTCCTCCCGGCTCCCCCAGCGGCTGACCCTCTGCTCTGCCCCTGCTCCTTCCCGGAGGAACTCCGTGGGCGGGTCTGTGTTGACTGGCAGACGCCAAACCAATTATGTACGAGGAACCAAGGGGAGGAGAGAATGGCCATTTTCACTCTTGCCCTGGATCCACAGGAGGCTGTGGGAGGCTGCAGCAGTAATGGCCTAAGGCCAGGCAGGAGATTCTGGAAATTCTGCCATTTACCCAACATTGCCCTAATGGAAAACCAAATATATGCTAATCCACTTTTCTATTTCCGCTACTGTCTGATTTTCATAAGAATGGGTGAGCATTGAGCATGATTGCAGAAGGCAGGTGTACCTATAGGCTGTTAAGTCTAAACTTTAGAACCAAGAGTGGTAAGTTGGCAACCCTGGAGATGCTTTCATTAATATGGACCGGTCTTTCCAGTGCAGATCTTTGCAGATAAAATATTATTTAAGAAACAGAAGCTACTGACGAGAATTAGGCTGGGGGTGGATTAATGATTGTACATTGAGCATTGACTCCCCTAAACAGAATTTTATTGTTGTTAACAACCATTTGATCAATAAATATGAGAGATGCCCTCTAAAAAAAAAAAAAAAAGAAAGAAACAGAAGCTAAACATTATTTTAAAGGTTAAGGTTATCATTCTCAACATTTGTGTACATCTGTTATTTTCCCAACTCTGGAAAGACAGAAAACAATGTGGAATAGGTGTGTCATGTTCTATTGATTGCCATTACATTGATGAGAATTAAAATACATGAGAATCCATAAATATCACAGAAAGACATGTCATGGAATAAAATAGGTGGTAGAATATGTATTAAATG